TAATTATGAATTATTTATGGATGATTGATCTATATGTAATGACTATATCAAATGGACACTTCACAGTTTAGAAGTAATTAATGTCTATAATTTCGAGAGTTCAATTCCAAGTTTATAATGGAGTAACTATTGGAATTAATAGAATTGATTAATTAATTAAAGTGTTTAATTATTAATTTTATTGGAGCTCGGGATTATAGGTCCATTAGGCCCCGCGTCGTCCTGGTAATTCTGCCAGACACAGAGGCAAAATGGGAATTTTAGAATTACGGAATTCTAAAATTAAATACTTAAAAAAAATAATTAATTAAGAATTAATTATTATTTAAATAATAATGTGATTATTTAAATTTGAATTTGAATTGTGAACATAATTTAAATTTATCCTTTTGAACTTATTTGATAAGTTGTTCAATTTAGAATTCAAATTAATTTAAGTTTGACTTAACTTTGAATTTGAATTTGAATTAAAATTGGACTACAGGATAAAGGATGATTTCTCTTCCTTCCCTATCTGTTATTGGCGCCACACACAAGGTAAAAATCCTAAGGGGTGGCCGGCCACTTTATGGATAAGAAAAGGAGATTTTGTTGTTCCAAATTCAAATAGGAGATAGAGATTTGATTCTGTTTTGAAGTTTGACTTCTACTCTTTAAATATGAGAATGATAAAAAATTGTGGAGACAATTTAAAAAAAAAACAATTTTCTGCCTAAGAGTTAAGGTGCCCGAAATTCTCAAAGAGGAAAAAGAGAGGAAAAAATTTTTCTCCCAAAAATTCCACATCGTGCATGCGTTAGTGTTTGTGGAAATTCGAGGTTATTGAAACCTGTTTTGTCTTACGTGTGCCTACACACACGTCTACGTGGAATCAAGGAATCGACGTGGAAGACTTTGGTTTTCTAAACACAATGCTTGGAGCAAGGACTGTTCGTGGTCAAAGAACTCAAGTTATCATCCGAGTAAGCTTCCAGGTATTTTTCCTGATTGAGTTCTTGATATATATAAATTAATGTGATTAATTTATTCGTGCATAAATTAATATAATATATAGAGTATCTCAAAAGTTTTATGAAATTTTTGTTATACATGATCCGCTTTTTCCCCCACGCTTCCGCGTCCGAATTCGATTCGGCAACCAACAATTGGTATCAGAGAGGTCTATAGACGATATTAATTTATGTTTCGATTATTTGATAAGCAGAATTGATATATTAAATATGTGATATTTAATTATGTATGTATGTGATGGGTTGACACTTGCATTTATGGATGTTTAATTTTAATTCATGTTGATGAATGTATGGATGGTGGATTTGGTCGTTAATTATATGGTTCCATGGATCGGTAATATTCATTGAATAATAAATTATTTGTAATTTAAGTCGGGATTAGAATTTTTGTAATTCTAGGTTTTTGGTAGAATTAGGGTTTTTGATTTTGAATCAAAAGAAGGCCTTGAAGATCAAGTTTAAAGCTTTTGAAGGAGCCCATAAAACTGCCCAGAAAATTTCCAGAAATCGGCCAAAAGGCGCGCCCCAGCGCGCGGCCCCAACGGCCCAAGTGCACGCCTGCGCACTTTAGCGCGCGGATAGTCCGCG